GGAAAGAAACTTGGCAGAGAACTCTATGATTACTGTTACACTGACTCTTGTTTAACCTTTCTAATTTATAAAAAATGTGACCATAAATTACTAATTCAAAGGAAGGACAGCCTTTTCCTAAATTTCTCCAAAATACAATGATGTTCTCAAACAATGGCTTAGGACCCAGAAATATTAGTGTAATTCAGTTTAAAGGCTTAGATTTCACTGGTGGGTGAACCCTGAAATCAACAATCCCTCCTATTACTGCCAAATGCAAGGTTTTGTTTTGATTTAGAAAATTGGTTGGGTCCCTATCTCACCAAAGTACAGACACAAGAGCTGTTTTTTCAGAGGACTCAGTCCACAGAAGCACTTAATCATGGCTTAACTTTAAGGAAGCAAGTGATCTTATTGATTTCAATGGATGATTCACATTTGTAAAATTGAGGCATTTAAACAGTCTATTCAAGTGGTCTAACTCTAGCATGTTGCATTGTCATAACAAAATCATGTATGGCATTCTCGAGCTGGAAATAGTGGTGTTTTAAAGTCCTTTTGTTTACACATTGCCAGAAGAAATTGATTAAATTGCCCAGGATTAGTGGCTGCTAAAGATTGGATTTTAATTAAATGGTACAATGTGTCACTCCTTACATGTTTTAGGCCATGATCTGCTGGCATAAACCACATTTTTTTCAAAGTTCATTTTGTCCAGCTAAAATAAAATTTTTACACTTACCTACAGGCTGTACACCTAACAGATTCTGGCTTATCAGCTGGACATCTATGGCACTAGTTTATTTTTAACATTTGTGACTGAAATGTAAATATTACATAATAAAGAAAACACCGCTGTGTTATAGTTATATGTTGACCACATAAGGGATCTTTTAAAGCAAAATTCCATTACTATAGTTCCAAACACCAGGCTAAAGCAGTCCTGAGCTGGCTGCCTACTTTTCTGCGATCTGATTTATGCCTTATTGAAATAAATTAAAAGATTTGCACTGACTTCAGAATGATTTCGATTGGATGTTTAACTAGTAATAGAAGTGATAATTTAATAAAAGCCCACATACTTCTCTCCTTTTTCTCATTAAATCTAATGCAAATCTAAAAGAAGGAAATTGAGAATTACAGTGAATTTGACAACAGTTTCATTAAATTGCACATGGATTTCTCCATAAAGCACAACAAGATCCCAATGAAAAGCTTTTTCTTTTGTACACAGATATCTTTCAGACTCCCATGTGCACCGACTCTTGAACCTTGGACTGGATTTTTACCAAAAAAAATTTAAATATTTTTCCCAATAACGTCTAACATAAATACTGGAGATATTACAATATTGGTTTGTTTTCCATCTCTCTCTTCAGTGTTACTCTTTGTATGGCTTGGAAGGCCAAACAGAAGGATGGCTGCTGTACTGCTGGGAAAGCAGTAACTTTCATGGGGTCGAGCTACAGACAGGTGGCCTAGTGGGTCTGTATAAATGTTGTAGCCAATGGTGTAAACAAATTATCAACTGTAAGTTTAGAAAATTATGTGGTTTATTTTGAAGACAGATCCTAGAGCACCAGAGTTTACAATTTATCAGGAAAAATCAAGAGAAAGAAACTACCCTCGGACAACATTGGTATACAGAAAATAATTAAATTGAAGGAACAATGAAAATAGAACTAAAGTTGAAACTGCACACTTGCGATATCAAATATCAACGCAATCACTTTGCAGCAGATAATATGCATGGCAATTAGAGCTTTTTTACATTATATTATAATAAATTCATAATTCATGCATACAATGAGAGCTTTTGGAAAGGAGCATTTGAATTTAACAAACACTACCACTCATCATCTGAGCAAAGATGGCAAAAGGAATTTCAACATTATTTGCGATCTAAAAAATTGAACCATCGTTGTTGCTTTGTGTTGTGCTTCCCTTGCACAGACTGCAGTGCCTTCTGTCTGCTTTAGGGTGTGGCATCTGCCATTGGGGAGGAAAAACTGGCATGTGTTGCCTTTTATAGCAGACTGATTTCATTGTGCTGAGGGCCTCAATTTTATAGCCTCTTAGTTCCAATCTTGTAGCCGAGTTGCTGAAACAAATGGGAGGAAAAGGACTTAGTGGTAGGAACTCTTCGGTTTAAAGCCTCATCCTTTTCTTCCCCCCGCTTTTCCCAGGGAAAACATTTCAAAGTAAATCTGTGTTAAACTTTTGAGGGTTATTTTCCCAATTGGAAAGAGTTGTGGAGTGTGTCAGGAAGTACTGCAATCTGCAGCCCAGGCACTAGCAGCACATCTTAGCAGATCATCAATATATGTATTTTTCTGAAATATAAATGTCTCAAAGTATAAGTGTTTAATTGATTTTATATTTTATGTTAAAGTACACATGTAAAGAAATACACACAAGGAGACATCTATATTTTTATTTGCATATGAAAGACTTTAAAAATCAACTTAGGTGGTTTAATGTGTATAATTAGCGTGCATTTGAATACAGAAAGAAGAAAATCCAGGAGATAATGTCAAAAAGGCTCACTAACAAAGATGTAGTATTCTCTTGGCAAAAGCTGATGAATGATTTGGCATGAATTCATCTTACGGTTCTGTTATTCTCTCTCCTACAAAGATGATATATCCCTTTCTAGCAGTTTGCATAGAATTGCAATTTGTTGTTGTTACAGACTGTAATGACCCTTGGGTATGCACCTGATTCCCCCTGTTAGAATTACTCACCATTTTTTTTTCCTCCTCTGTGTTTATATATGTGTAGCCATGTAACACTTTTGCACTTGCAAAGGACACCAAAAATCCCCCACAAAACCACCAACCAACCAAGAAAACCAAACTCCCCAGCTGTAAAACAGAAGTATTAGGAAGATGTACTTCACAAGCACTGAGACTTTTCAAAACTAACTCCATAATGCAAATCATAATATTTCTGACTTTTCAGACAGAAACTAAAATTAATAGACACTGGAATCACACTGCTCATACCTTTATCAATAATCTTTGCATGTAACACAACATTAGAGCATGAAGCTTCTGCTCCTTTAAAGTTTTCACAGTGAATTCAAAAAAGCCTACCTATACGTGACAGCATCTTTCTTGATATGCTGTGTTTTTCTCTACCATTATGATTAAATCTCCTATTTATCCATTTTGAAATTTGAAAATGTGCTTACCTTTAACAGAGCGTATAAATATATTAATTTAAAACATTGTGGTTTAGACCCTTGCTGTATTGAAAACGTTCGCTAATATCCCAGTTTGCTGTATTCATAGCCAAGTATTTGATCTCCCAAATGCTTTCATTACTTGAATGTAATGTGTGACTATTACCTTTTGTTATACTAGGGTATCACTTGCATTAAGATAGTTATAAAAAAAACTTCCAACTGTTCTGGTTCAAAAATGTAGGTCAGCAGCAGCTTTCCATTTGGAGCAAGAGTTACTCAGATTACATATTTTGGGGTTTGTGTTACTACGTTTTCATGAGTGTTTTGTGCATACTGGAAATTATATTGTTTGGGGAAACAATTATGAGACCAAAAATGTCTCTCACTCTTTGATCAATTCCTGTTGAACTGCAAATAAGTACACAGAACATATTGAAAACGGCCCTATATATAAAAGCATCATCAGTGCAAATGACCGTTAGAATCTGGAGACAGCTGGACAATGTGGACAACTGCAAAGATGCTACCGCTGCAGAATTTTAGGTTAAATTTTATAACCGTCTGCACATACAACATAAATCTTCAGGGGGCGGGTGGCTGTGGAGGAAAAAATCCAAAACAAGTCTAATTTCTCCGTCATAGGAGCAAACGTGCCCCTGCCCTCGGAACACGAGGCGGCTGCTGAGCATGGCACACGGGGCTGGGGGGAAGCGTGCGGCCCCCGAAAGTTTGGCCGATCCATCTGCTCGGCCACAGCTGGAGCGCATGGCGGCCCCTCGCCTTGCTCCTGGCGAACTGGCCCGCGCGGGGCAGCGCCGCCGGCGGCACCCTCGGCCCCGCAGCACCGGGGACAGTCCCGCTCCCCGCTCCGCCCCCGCGGCGTTCGGCGGCCCCGGAGCGCCCGTCGGAGCCCGCCTCGACCCCTCGCTCGGAGCAGCCCCCCCCGGCGGGTTCGGTGCTCGGCGCAGGCCGCGACCCCCTGCGCGCACACGGGCGGGACCCCGCTGGGAGCGGGGGGACCCGCGGGGGCCGCGCCCCCCATCCCGCCGCGCTGCCGGGAGAGCAGGCAGGGGAGCGGGAGCCCGAGCAAGTCCAGCGTGGAGTCCAGTCCGCGTTTTGCGGGTGCGCGGGACCGATCGGGGCGGAGGGGGCGATGGCTGCCGGCGCTGGCTCGCTCGCTCGCTCATGCCATGCTGGGCCAGCGCGGCTCCGGCAGACGTGTGTTTACCCATATCCGGGTTAGGGAGGAAAGGAGGAGGAAAAAAAAGTTTCATTTAAACCTGAACAAAAAAACTTTCAACATGAAATCACACAGCGGGAACGGGCACGGACCGTAAGGCGTTCTTACCATTTCTAACCTCAACCACGGACTCGGGGAGGGAAATCGCTGTAACTCGGTGCGTGTGGAGCGGTCCGCAGGGGATACTTAGGGTTCAGTCAAGTCCCTGCCCCGGCCGCTTCTCCTTCTGCCCCCCTCCTCTCCTTCCCCCCACCCCTCTGCTGGCCCCCCATTTTTCAGGGTGGGAGCCAATTTTTTTTTTCTTGTTTAGTTTTTAATTTTTTTTTTTTTTTTTTTAATTTTTTGGTTTTTGGTAGTTACTATTATCAGCACAAATTTCTCCGGACTCGCAATGTTGCGATGATCATGGCCGCACAAGTTGCAGCGGCTCCGGCGAGTGCGAACAACAGCAAGGGCAAAGCCCCGAGCCTGCCGGGCGGCCTGGGCCCAGAGCGAGGCCCGGGGGGGGCCGGGGCTCCCGGGCCGGGCCCCGCGCTGGGGGTCGGCGAGGGGAGTCCGGCCGGCGGCGGCAGCGTGAATAATTTAGATCACCATCTCCACCACCACCACCGCAGCGAGCCGCCGAACATGGCCAATAACGCGGCTCCCGCCGCTGCCGCCGGTAACAACAACAACAACGCCAGCGGCGGCGGTGGCGGCTCCTCCTCGGAGCCGGCTCTGAAGGAAGGTGGAAGCTCCTCGGAGTTATCTTCATCTTCTTCGTCTTCTTCCTCCTCCTCCTCCTCCTCCTCCAACCCGGGCTCGGCTATGGAGACGGGGCTGCTCCCCAACCACAAGCTGAAGAGCGTCGGAGGCGATCACCCCGCCGCGCCGCCCCACCACCACCATGCCCACCACCCGCATCACCATGCCCACCACCACCATGCCCACCACCCGCACCACCACCACCATGCACTACAGCAGCAGCTAAATCAATTCCCGCCGCCGCCGCCGCAGCAGCCGCCGCCTCAGCACCATCCCGTGCAGAATAACAACAGCAGCCTCGGCGGCGGCGGCGGCGGCAGCGGCAGCAACAACAACGGCGGTGGCGGTGGCGGCGCTGCTCAGCCCAGTGCAGACATGGAGCAGCAGCAACATGGAGGAAAAGACAGTGTTTTGGGCGCTCAGGCCGAGCCCCCCCAGCAGCCGCAGCAAATGCTGAATAAAGGCGCCGACGAGGAGGAGATGCCCGGCAAGATGGGCGAGCCCATCGGCGGCCGCTACGACCACCCCGGCTTGGGACCCCTGGGCGGACAGCAGCAGCCCCAGCAGCCGCCCCCGAGCGCTGGGAGCGGCGGCGGCGGCCTCGGCGGCGGCGGCGGGAGCGGGGGAGGCGGCGGCGGCCCCTCCGCGGTGGGTGTCTCGGAGTTCAATAGCTATTATGGCAACCCTGCCCCTGCCCCTGCCAGCAGCGCTACGGCGAGCCGCGCCGGGCCTTGCTTTGATCAACATGGCGGACAACAAAGCCCCGGGATGGGGATAATGCACCCCACGGCGGCCCCCAACAGCATGGACCCCCTGCAGAACTCCCACGAAGGGTACCCCAACAGCCAGTACAACCACTACCCGGGCTACGGCCGCGGCCCCAGCGGCGGCGGCGCGGGCGGCGGCGGCGGCGCGGGAGCCGTGGCGGCGGCGGCGGCGGCCGCTGGGGCAGGCGGCGGCGGCTACGGGGGCTCCGCGGCGGGCTACGGGGTGCTGAGCTCCCCGAGGCAGCCCGGCGGCGGCATGATGATGGGCCCCGGCGGCGGAGCCGGCCTCGGCAAGGCTGGTGCCGGCGCGGCGGCGGCGGCCGGCGGCTTTGCGCGGTTCTCCGGGCAGAACCAGCACCCGTCCGGGGCCACCCCTACCTTGAACCAGCTGCTCACGTCCCCCAGCCCCATGATGCGGAGCTACGGCAGCAGCTACCCCGACTACAGCAGCCCCAGCGCCCCGCCGCAGCCCCAGCCCCAGGCAGCGGCGGCCGCCCCGGGAAGCCAGCAGGCAGCGGCGGGCATGGGCATGGGCAAGGACATGGGCGCCCAGTACGGAGCGGCGAACCCGGCCTGGGCAGCGGCACAACAAAGGAACCACCCGGCGATGAGCCCCGGGAACACCGGGCAGGCCATCAGCAGGACCCAGGTAACTGCCCGAGCTCGGTTAATGACGGCTCATGCCTCCGTGTCGCTCGTGTCGAGCTCTTAGTTTCTTTATAATTCACTTTTTTTCTCTTCCCCCCCCCCTTTTTTTTTTGTCTTTTATTTTTTTTTCTCTTCCCCCCCACCTCCCCCATTCTCTTCTGGGCCAGTTTTGCCCCTCGCTGCCTCCGTAGCGAGGGTGAGTCGTGCACAATGCGCGGCCCCGTTGGGGCTGGAGGCACCGGAGTGTGGCTTTCGCTGCCGAAATTAGGTTGTTCACAGACCCAATTAATATTTTCCCCCACCACTTTGAAACAGCGTCGGAGAGACGCAGGGCCCGGAGGACAAGCAGCTCGGGACGGACGGGGGCGGGGGGTTGGATTTTGTAACCGGAGTGCCGGACCCGGGGGGCTCCCGGGGGATAACGTCCATTATCTTTCACGGGGCCTTTTTTTTCTTCTCTCTTTAACTCGTTGCTTTTTTTTTTTTT